AATGTCTGTCACGTACCTTTATATGACCTTATGCTATGACCTACCTTGGAGCCTTATAGAGTGAGCGGGCGGGCCTAAGTCAGGAAGAGATGGTGGGACAAAGGAAGAAAGAGCGCGGAGAAGGGGAGATGGCCATCGACCGCCTTTAAGAGTGCATCGGGGACGTCGATGGCGTCATGGACGAAGGGGTCGGGGGACGAGATCGAGAACCGGCCAGAAATGTAAGTGCTGGGTGGCCGTCGGTTGGAACCCAGACAAATGGATGCATATGGATGTGGCGATATATACATTGGACACTGGCAGTTGTATGAACGACTTGTCAAATCGACGTCGGACGGCCATTCTATATACAAAAAGTGATCATCGATGCATGAAATCGAGCATAGATAGGCGCCGAGATGTCATCGCGACAGCTGTGAAAAGATGGCAATAGACGGCAATCGCTGGCAAAAGCTACAAATCGTAGGAAAAAGGGAAGGTTTTCACTGGGCTTAAGATCTTGAGATCTTACATAACATGTAGCATGAGCGCCTACATCGTAATGCATGCTTCGCGCGACCATAAGGAAGAAGCTGACTTCATGGCTAGGAGTGCGGAGAATGAGCCGGGCTACATGTACATAAAAACCCCACTTTCATTCGCTAGGGTGATGTGGCATGGCAGACATCGAGATCAGATGCGCTCCGACCGTCAAGATGACCTCAGGAAGGGAGCGCGGTGCAAGCATAACAGCCGACAGGCTTTACACCTTCGTTTGGGTTCGCACCACTATATAATGTGCAGTATGAGCAAGGGATAGTATCTCTGTGTCGGTGAAAGGGGATGTAGCATACTCACTTGGACCGAGTAGTAACATGCGATATGGGCCAGGACCTGTTTACTTGTGCCTCCGCGGGCGGTTTTTTTTAAGACGAAGCAGTACCTTTGAAACGTGTACTCTGCATATTTGAATAAAAGCGACCGACAAGAAAGCATATACACTTTAGGGCTAGCTAGACAAGGCGACGACAACGACAGTGAAAGAGCGACGATTCCCTGTCATACGACAAGGCGGGGAAAGACATATGAGTGCCAGTGGTCGCCAAGTCCAGGGCTGACCGCAACAGAGCAGGGCGGTAACGAGCAACCGAAAGTCATAGATGGCGAGGGGTCCATTGAGTTGGTGTCGAGATCTGAGAGTACGGAGAGAACCTCCATAGCGCGACATAGGTCTTCGCAAATCTCCGACCAGGTATCCACTGCATGGATGCCGGAGACATGAGGAGGGGAAATGCATATATTGAACGGGTGTTCGTGAGGCCCGTCCACGTTGGCGCTCTGATCCAAATCGGGCCGCTTGAAATAGGGAGGATAGACAGGCCTTGGAACGTGGATATTGGGAGCTCCGTTCGGATGCGATAGGGTCCTTGGCGCTGGCCGTCTCGTTTGGTTGAAATACGGCCTAGGGCTACGACTAGCTGGAATAGCTGGCTTGCTAGTGGTGTCGGCGTGGACGACGAGCTTTCCGTTGCGTACGCGCAGTCGATCGCTCATCGACGGGAGTCTGATCTGATAGGGAGATGTCGTACGCTTTCGAAGTACAAGCTTCCGTATAGTTTGAGGCTAGTGTGTCCAGAGAGCGGTCAGCATAGGAAACATAGGTCAAATCCTGAAATGCTCACCTCTTCCTGTCCTTTAGGGACTGTGGGTTGTTCCGTTGTTGGCCCGGAAACTGATGTCAGAACAGTGCGGCGGTCTACTGGGGGCAAGACGACCCTAGGAAGTGAACATTCCTCCATACAGATGTCGGCAGGAGGTTGGGAGACTGCGTCGAAGCAGAGGTCGGAGATCGAAAACCGAGAAGAGCAATCATAGAACGTTTGCGAGGAACCAGAGGAGCAGATAGCAGAGCAGGTCGAGCTGGACAACATTGCGACAAGATGGAGAAACGAAAGCAAGGTTGAAGTTGGTGAAACGCATTTGGGCATCGAGTCCTGGAGCCCTAGCTAGGTGCGGCTGGAATGGCTGACATGCCGGGCACTGGACCGGAAGAACTGAGGCCGGTCTCATGTTCCATTGCGAGGGAGTAGTAGTCGGTTTCACAATGCGAGTCAACGTGGAAGGCAGTGTAGCGAGGTTGCTTAGAGCTTGAACGTGAAACGCAGTGGCACATGGCGGCAGGAGACAAGTCGTGCGAGATATTCTGATGCCGCAGGCGCCTTGGGTGAGCACACGCGGAACCTGACCTGGCTCCGGTTTACTCGCGGAGTTGAATCCTCCCTCCATGTTGTCCCCTCCTTCTCTCCACCTCGATCGTCCCAGTACATAGCATACTCGATCTAACGTCTGACGACACAACAACCGTCGATCGGTTGGCCATACGACTTACGCTGCTGAGGATATCCTGTCTCAGAACAAGATCGGTGATCGACGTCCTCGCCAGATCTATAACCACGTCCCGTACGATCAAGCGATCCCTTCAAGAACAAAGAACAAGGATTGGTCACAAGGCAGTCCTCTGTCCGTGAGCTACCATTCTAATTGACAATGTGTTGGACACCGACACTTTTTTTTTATTTTAGCTCAGTCCCACTTTCCTCTGTGTCGTGTGGTAGCCGGCGTAGCGGGTTTGCCTACAGTGCATGGCACAACCCATACCCATTGTGACCCGTCCTGGTCCTGGGGCAACGTTCACTCTCCCTCTCGCATCTCCAGCTTTCACTCAATCGCCCTCTTCAGCCCCCGCGAGTACGCTCAATTCCCCTCTGCCTCTATCTTCTGCCCAACTCCGGAGGTCTTCGTATGGGAGTTCTTACGGCTGGAGCCCGGGTCGGGAAGACTCGAGGGATGAGAAGCATAACGAGCTAGCCGAGTCGTTGAAGAGGAGCGTCACGATCGTGTTCTGGTATAAGGTGAGGATCATCCTGGGCTGGCTGGGACTGTGCGAGATGGTTTAGCCATGTCATCGGCCGCACGTAAGCACTTTCGCTCGCGAGGCCGTAAGATGTTGAAATCGGGATGACACTCGCGATCAACGATGAGTTATGCTCCTGTTGGTCCTCGGCCGTCTGTTGGAGATTCGATAGATCCTGACACCGGTCGCGATGATCCTGTGGCAACGTGCCTGCGCGATCGCCTTTAGGTTTGGTACAGCTCAGGGATTCGAATTTACAGCGTACTTCTTATGAATCGCGAAGAGGAGTCGTTTGTGTCGACCCTTTGAGATGGCACGGCTATCAGATTCGTATTCTGCGTTCGAGGCGGTAGTTGACATGAGATTATCAACTAACCACAACTTCATCAGGCGAACGTACAACCGCTCCGACTGCGGGTGGATATTGCAACGTTTCCGCTCCTACGCCTTTCTGAGGTCGAGCCCATCGTCGATGCCTATCACCTCGCTCCCAACACCTATGTTGATGTTTACAACCCCCACGCACGTGCATGGGAGCAAGAGCAACTCTGTGCTGTGCGCTCGGTTGAGAGCCAGCAGAGGGTACTCTATCGCATGCGCCGCGACCTAATCGTCGGCCTGGAAGACTGCGAGTGCCTAGGGTTGGAAGCAGAACTCCGTCTACAAGAGGAACGTGTCTCGGCCCCCGCCTTACCACTGCTCTACCAGCCAGTAGACTCGGTGGGTCAGAAGAAGCGGTCGGCCGATGAGGGGCTATCACCGCCATCGAGCAAGCATCATCGGTCCCATTCGTCGCAGAGCGGTTCGTCCACGTCTACGGCAGTGAACGCGCTCGCCTTCGAGGACGTTGGCTCTCCTATGTTCTCCAGGCACGTCGTACCCGACTCGGAGACGCAAGTGGATTCGTCTCAGATGCCTATGTATGCCTCACCTTTCAGTATCGCGTCTCTCCATTCTGTTACTTCTGCCACGACTTCAACTACGTCCCAGCTCAATCAGGACTATCACTACACTCCTCATACGCCAATCAGCCCGATACAGCACGCGCGTTCAACTCACAACAACTCTGCAATGCCATTGAGGACGAATGGGCCCGTTCCTATCTCGTCGGACTCTTCGCTGGCTATGGCGGTCACCCCGCCTACTCCTACTCTCTCGATTCAGGCTTCGCCCATATCCCCGACGCGCGCATCATACTCCCGACTTCCTTACCCTCAAGCCGCCTCGAACCCCACCCCATCGCCCACGCCGAAATCTACCCCGCTCCCGTCCCCCGTCACACTCCCAGCCGCGAATCAGGACCGCGAGCCCACCCCCACCGCGCAAGCCAACGGCGACGGCACCGGGCCAGGGAGCACCGCCGGCGGCGGCGCGGCGAAAGCGTGGCCGTTCGGCAAGTACGTGTGCGAGATCGACGCGGGCCTGACGGAGATGGAGGAGCTCATGCAGCGCGAGCCGGCGCTCACGCAGCGCGGCGCGTTCGAGCGCGTGTTCAAGGCGGCGTACAAGAAGTCGACGTTCTGCAACCACCGGCGGGTGTGGAAGAACGCGCCGCAGGACGCGCTCGACGAGTGGCGCGCGGCGGGGCGCGCGGAGAGCGCGCTGTGGAACGAGTTCGTGCGCGCGCTCGAGGGGAAGGAGCCGAAGCGGCCGGCGGGGCTCGCGGGGAACGGGGGAGGGCAGGGACTGGGGAGGGGGGTTGCGTTCGCGCAGAGCCAGGCGGCGTTTGGGTCGCCGCAGGGCGGGTTGGTGCATCTGGGGATGGGGCCTGCGCAGGGGATGAGGATGCAGCAGCATTCGCAGGGGCTGGGGATGAGGCGGGAGGAGCCTATGGGGTCGTTGAGGCCCCCGGAGGGGAGAGGGTATCTTGGTGAGTGGTTCGGGACATGTTTTGGTGGGTTTGGCTAACGTTCGCATCGTAGGGTAAGGTGGGGGTCTCACGATTGTAGCCTGTCTTGCCATACTGCAGCGGGTACGTGGACACTGGATTGTATCTTGTCATGTCATGCTTGTTGTCGCGCTGCGTTCTGTTCCGCTGTGTTCTTGAGTATACCTCAGTTCTCTATATCCAGTAACTATCTAGTGTATTGCGGTGGTGTACTACTAATGCTAATGTTGTAAGATTACACAAGGGGATGAGGTGGGGGAGCGAAGTGTGTGTGTGTGTGATGGACGCCGCGTATAGTACAAAGTGACTGAGTGGACAGCAAGCGGACACAGCAAAAAGCCCTTTTTTTTTACGAATTCACCAAAGGCATCGCCGACTCCTTACGCAAGTCCTCAGGCCTCGGAACCATCTCCAGCGTCGCCTGCGCAACAGCCTCGGCCGCCGTCTGCGACAGGAACCCCTCCGGATCCTGCATGTCCGCCGAAGCGAGCATGGCCCTCGTGAGGAGGCGCTCGAGCGGCGCGACGGCGAACGGCCTGTCCTCCTCGACATACTCGAGCCCCACGAGCTGCAGCGCGGTCGGCATCCCGTTCGCCTCGAACACGCCCTGGTCCGGGACCTGCAGCTCGCGCTGCGCGCGCCCGCCGAGGCCCTCGAGCGGGATCTCGCGCCGCGCGGCGTAGTCCGGGGCGGGGATCCAGCCGAGGCCGGCGGGCGAGCGGACGCCGGCGAGCAGGACGCGGTGCACCATCGCCATGTCGAACTGGGGCCGCGTGCGGAGGTGCGGGGGGAGGTCGCCGAGGCCGAGGAAGCGGTACGTCCAGACGCGCTGGGGGTCGGGGCGGAGCGCGATGCGCGGGAGGTGGACCTTGACGCGCCCGAGGAGCGCGTTGACGACGACGCGGTAGAGGGGGAGCGTGGGCGGGCCGACGAGCGCGGCGTGTGTGCGGAGGAGGCGCACGGCGACGAGCGCGGCGGGGTAGTCGTACTGGCCCATGAAGGCGCGCAGGGCCTTGCGCAGCGCGAGGGCGTCGAGGACGGGGGTGGGGGCAGGCGCGGTGCGCGCGGCGAGGCAGGTGAGCATGTCGCGGAAGACGGCGCGCGGGGCGGGGACGTTCTCGGGGGGCTTCATGCCGCGCGTGCGCTTCGACCGGCGGGAGAACTTGCAGGTCGTTTGGTGGACGGCGCGGAAGATGGTGGAGAAGGTGTGTCCGTCCGGGGTGAGGGCGGGCGTGCGCTGCTCGACCATGTGGGCGTAGAGGGAGAAGAGGGCGTCGAAGTGCCGTTGGCCGAAGGCGTGGGCGAGGACGGCGTTGAGGAAGGGGAGGTCGACGCGGATGGAGGGGTTGGGGGATTCGATCTCGGAGAGGGCCCAGTTGTAGAGGTCGTCGTCGGGATTGGCGTGGGCGAGGTCGCGGAGGAGGGTGGTGTAAGGGGCGGGGTTGATGAAGCCGCGGGGAGAGGAAGACTGAGGGAGCGGGGGAAGCCGCTCGGAGGACCACCGTGCGGCGCCTTCTTTGTCGCCTGCGCGAGCGTGGAGGCGTACTATACAGCTGAGTGTATGCGCAGAGAGCTGGAAGCCGGGGTCGCGTTTGGAGAGGAAGAGGTGGACGACGCGGTCAATGAATGACGGAGGAACGCGCACGCCTTCTGCGAGGAGCTGGAGGAGGTCTGCGAGAGCGTCGTCGTCGTAGGATTTGTTGTCGAATGCGTGACCGATGATGGGGAGGAGTACTTGTTCGTGCTCGTCAGGAGTGAGGGACTCTGCCTCTCTGATGACGCGCATCTGGGTGCGGAGGGAGACGGAGGGAAGGTAGCCGTCGCGTACCATGCGGGCATAGAGCAGGGTGGCTCGAGCGACTTGATCGTGACGGAGGAAGAAAGAGACGGTGTACTGGTAGAGCTGGAAGCGGTCTGTGCTGTCGAGGTCGTGTTCGAGCGCATGATAGACGTATGCTGTGGCGGCGGCGGGACCTGCGTCGAGGTAAGTTTTGGGCAAGGCACCGGCGATCGGGTCCACCTTTGCACGGAGCTTCCTGACCATCTTGAAGGGAACGGCGGCGGTGGATGAGGCGCGGACGGTCAGGGGAGAGAGGCGTCTGGCGGCATGAGGGAAAAGGGTGCGGGGGAGGGAGAGGCGGAGAGAAGGGATCGCTATGTTGGCAGCCTGTGAGGTGACTGCTTGCAGGGTGAGGGCGACTGGTACAGTACCGCTTGACGTCCTTGTGTACAATGGAGATGGCAGATGGTAGAAGGACGAGAACGGTCCACGACGAGAGCCGAGGCGGCGGAGTCGAGTCGCGCGTCGTCGACGACCGTGACGGCGCCAGCAAAAGCCGAAGCCGAGCGCCGGCTGGCCGGACCGGACTGTGACGGCGGGCAGCGGGCGGCGGTCACAGCAGGCGGGACGGCGGACGTGACGCGGCGGGGTCCAGCAACAGACACAACTATCTCGACCTCGACCTCAACCTCAACCTCAACCTCAACCTCAAACACGGCTACCAGCCATCTCCCGTTTCCTTCCCTCCGCTCTACCCGCATTCCGTCTGCCTTTGAATCCTACTGACGCCGCAATCAATACGGGCGTGCCCGCCACCTCTTCACCAATCCCAATCCCAACCATGACCGCACCCCAGCAGTCGGACGGCATCGAAACTACTCCTCCTCCCGCCGTCAGCTCTCTCCGTTCTCGCTTTGAGAAGCTTGCCGCAGTTTCCTCCGCTCCTGCTCCCTCCACGCTCAAACCCTCCACACCCCTCACCCCTGCTCCTGCCCCCCTCACTCCCTCACCTAGACCAGTCCACGCTCCCGAGCTTCACCCTGAGTCCAACAATCACTACCTCCATCCCGCCTCATCTTCCTCCGATCTCAGGTCTCTTGCAAAACGTCCGCCTCCCCCTCCCCCTCTCCGTCCCACTTCCAGAGCCCCTTCGCCTGCCCTCAACCGCAGTCCTCTCTTGCTTCCTTCCTCTCCCGCACGTATTGAGTCTGATCTTCCTTCTCCAGAGTCTACCCCCGTTCCCTCAAAGGCAGCCGCTCTTGCTCGTCGCCCCCCTCCTCCCCCTCCTCTGTCCCAGGATCATTCTACACAGCGCCCCATGGGCATCTCTTCCCTCGTAAAGCAATTCGGGTGAGTCTCTTTGCCTTCTCTGCTTCTTCAGAACACAACCAGTCCTTCCTATCGTACTGTCGCATTGCGTCGCATTCTTCGCGGTCAACCTCCCCCCGCGTTCCGGTCCTTCTGTTTGGCGGTATGCTATACACAGTGCCAAGCAGTTCGTAAACCCGTGTCACATCAGTCGTAAGTTGGCCGACGAAACGTTCACGAGCTAGTTCCTTGAGAGTTTGGTTCGTTTGCGTTTGACAGAAACATGCCGTCTCCCATCCCAATCCCATCTCAGGTACTATCACGCGCACCATCTGTGCAAGAACAGGTGTGATGTCATACAAAGAGCCTGCATGCATACATCCATGTTCTGGTTCCTCGCACGTTGTTGCTTATACTTCTTTCCGCAGACATGGTTCCGCTCTGCCCGCTACCTCCCCACCGAGACCGAGCAGTAAACCAAACTCTCAGTTTCTTATCAGTCGTCTTCCGATCCCCGAGCCCCCGGAGCCACCATATTCTAGACGGCCTCGTCAGTCGTTCCCCCCGGATCACGTCCCACACTCTGATTCCACCAATTCGCACCTTTCTGCCAACTCCTCTTTGGATGGTTTCGATCCGTTCGATGATATTCACTCCGACACAGAACCTTCTCATCCGACCCCTCCTCCACTCCCCCGAAGGAATGACAACGGTCGTATAACCTCCGCCCACCACACCCCAGAATCGTCCTCCGACAGCTTGACGTCATCCAATTCCTCTAGCAGTCGTACGTCGAGCGATAACGACAACGTCGTCAAGCCACCTACGCAATCCTCGCCCCGTCCTCCTTCCTCTCCGCGCCCTCCGTTTGCCCCTCCGCCCCGTCCTCCGCCGCGAACCAAGGTCGCAGTGCAAACTTTCGACATCCCTTCTTCCTCTTCAGTCTCCTCTTTGAGCGCAGTTGCTCTCACACCACCTCCTTTACCTGCACGAAAGGGGTCTTCATCGTCAGGCGACGACCGTACTTCTCTTCCAGTGTTACCTCAGCGCCATCATACCATGAGCGAAGTCGACCTTCAACCGAGTACCTCTACGGCAACGCCTCCCCCAGAGCGGAAGCAGTTTGGTGCGCACCTGCCCCCACCTACCCGAACGATTGCGTTGGGAGACAAACTTCCACCACCTCGGCGCGTCAATGACGGCTCATCAAGCGATGAAGAGGACGATGAAGACGTCAAGATGAAGGTTGATCTCCTGCCTGATGCTAGTCGCGCCTCGCGCCGGCCGCCTGTCGTCGATTGCCTCAACTATTCTGAGTTCAACATCCATATCCCTGCGTACACCGGCTCGGTCGCGGTATCTGGACACGCTGTTGCGGTTGTGACGCAACATCATCTTCGCGTATACGACCTCTCGATTTCGGACGCGCCCATATGGAACCTCGACTCCAAAAACGGCGACTTCAACATCAAGATCAAGGACTTCAAGATGACCAGCGTCGAATTCCGTCCGACGACCTCCCTGCAGGACCGAGGCGCGTTCTTGTGGATCGGGACGAAGGACGGCCACCTCATCGAGCTCGACGTGCGCACTGGCCAGGTCACTGCGGCCCGTCCCGCCGTGCACGCGCACACCATCACGCACATGTTCCGGCACGACCAGTCGATGGTCACCCTCGACGACACCGGGAAGGTCCTCGTCTGGTCGCCCTCGGACGACCTCGACCTCGACCTCAGCACGCAGACCCCGCGAGTGGTGCGGATAGCGGAGAAGCAGGAGTTCGCGAAGATGATCGGGGGCCAGCTCTGGACGTCGACCCGCGATCCCTCTGCCGGGGGGAGCGTGCCTGGGACGTCGAGGGGCCCGTACATGCGCGTCTACGACGTCTTCACACAGGGCAGCGTGGGCAGGTCGCTGCTCCCGAGCGAACACCTCGGCGCGGTCACCGCCGCGACGGTGCTCCCGAGCGACCCCGCGCAGGCGTACGTCGCGCACGAGGGCGGGCACATCAGCATCTGGGCGCTCGGGGGCGGGGACGCGCCGCCGCAGTGCGTGGAGGTCGTGAAGGTGTCGACGTCGGACATCCTGAGTTTGGAGGGCGTGAACGACCGGCTGTGGGCGGGCGGGCGGAAGGGCACGATCTCGGCGTACGACGTGGGCTCGAAGCCGTGGACGGTCACGAACTCGTGGATGGCGCACCAGAGTCTGCCGGTGTTGCGGATCGGGGTGGACACGTGGAGCATGGAGAAGCTGGACCGGCTGATGGTGTTTAGTGTGGGGCGGGACGAGAGGTTGAGGTTCTGGGACGGGCTTTTGGGCGTCGACTGGATCGGTGAGTCGCGGCGGCCGGTCTGCGGTGTTGGTCGAGTTGCTGACATGGGCGCAGAGCAAGAGCTGCTGAAGCGCGAGACGGAGTTCAGCACGTTCCGCGACATGACCGTGCTCATCGTCTCCTGGAACGTCGACTCGGCGAAGCCGGACACGCTCACGGGCCCGGCGGAGAACGTGAACTTCCTGCAGGACGTGCTGCGGACGATCGACCGCCCGGACATCATCGCGTTCGGGATGCAGGAGCTGATCGACCTCGAGAGCCGCAAGATGGCGGCGAAGACGGTGCTCCTCGGCGGGAAGAACAAGACCGCGGACGGGTCGATCAGCCAGAAGGTGACGACGAGCTACAAGAAGTGGTACGACCGCCTGGTGCTCGCCGTCAGGCTCGCGATGCCCGCGGACGAACCGTATACGGTCATACACACGGAGAACCTGGTCGGGCTGTTCACGTGCGTCTTGGTGAAGAATTCGGAGAGGACGCGGTTGAAGCATGCGGCGCTCACGACGGTCAAGCGGGGGATGGGCGGCAGGTATGGGAACAAGGTGTGTGCTCTTCCTGATGTTGCAGGAAGGAGGTGGGACGCTGACGCTGTCCGTTGGGGTAGGGCGGCATCATCTCCAGGTTCGTCGTGGACGACACGTCGATTTGCTTCATCAACTGCCACCTTGCCGCCGGCCAGCACCATGTTCGGCAGCGCAACGCCGATGCGGCTGCTATCGTCGAGGACCAGTCCATGCTTCCCGAGCCGGACGAGGGTGCTGCGTACGTGAATGGAGGTGATGGGACCATGGTCCTGGACCACGAGCTCGTCTTCGTAAGTCATCACTCGACATTGACCTTCCCTATTCTGACGAGTGTGAACGTAGATGAACGGCGACATGAACTACCGCATCGACCAACGACGCGAGGCGGTCGTCGCGGCCGTCAAGGCGGGCGACCTCCAGCAACTCGTGATCCATGACCAGCTCCGGAAGGAGATGAAGTTCAACCGCGCGTTCCGGCTCCGCACGTTCCAGGAGGGCCCGCTGGACTTTGCGCCTACGTACAAGTACGACCGGCGGTCAGACGAGTACGACACGTCGGAGAAGGCGCGGACCCCGGCGTGGTGCGACCGCGTGCTCTGGCGGTCGCTGGTGCCCGAGCGGGTGGAGCTGCTGCACTACCGGCGGTGGGAGGCGAACGTGTCGGACCACCGGCCGATCTCTGCTGGGTTCAAGATCAGGGTCAAGTCGGTGAAGCACGAGGCGCGGGCGAGGGTGAAGGCGGAGGTGCAGGAGCGGTGGAAGGAGGCCGAGAGGGACTTGTTGGCGGCGGCGATGCAGTATTACATCGACCAGAAAATGATCTGAGGCTCGGCTGAGGGCGAGTGTCAGGCCTGATTTGGTCGAGCTGCGTTGAGATCGGACGTTCGGACTCGGACTCGGACTCTACATACACACACATCTATATGCCCACCATAGGACATATATACATACTCACGAACGCGCACATTCTGTCCGACACCATCATCGTTGTATACCATGTAGCGTACCAGACACCCCTGGAAATACAGTAATCCACGACGGCGTTTCGGGCTCACGCTCGCACATATGTATGAATGTATCGGTGGGACAATATTGATGGTGACGGTCGGTGAGTCGCTGCAGGCGACAACTCCGCGGCTCCGACGGCGCACACAATGACGTCCCAGGCATGCGCTCTGCCCCTTATATGTAGTCCCTCGCTGCCTTTCCTTTCTCCAGACTGCAGACGGCCTTGGGTACGGTCGTCAGTATCGCTGCCCATGTTCATTCATCATCGCGTACAGGCTCATGCCGCGATATGCGGACCGGAGCCGGGGGCAGCGGGGTGGCACGGTTGCGCTAGCCGACATCCCTTATAGACTCCAAGAACACCAGCCAGCCCACTCTGCAACCCCTCGTCTCTCTCCCGTCTGCCACGATCGCCACGCCCACACCGCGTTTTTGTGTTCTCGACGGTCTGGTGCGCCCATCTTACACGGTCATTTAACTCTACTGGCTCGTGTTCCTGCTTCGTTCAACACCCCATATACGAGCGAGAGGCATACACGCGCGATGGCTTCCCCAGGCCTACAAACACACACTCAGAAGAGGATGCTCCTCGAGCTCGACGACGACTGGGCTGCGGCGGCTTTCGAGGGCCAGACGTCCGTGAGGAGGTTCAAGGATTCGATTCATGATTACTGTACGTGCCTTTGTCTCTCCGAGGATGAATGACGCGTGCTGGAACGTGTCGTGTTCATGCTGTTCGTCTCAGTGCCTTTTGGGCAGACTATATGCGCGATTGTCGACACGTACGTCTCTCCCTTTGTTGAAGTGGGACGCGTCGAACTGATGTGCAGCTCTTCCTTGCTTGATGGACTAGGCCGCAGTTCCAGCGCCTTAGGAACATCAAGCAGCTTGGTACTTCGTATTACGTGTGGCCAGGCGCATCCCACAATCGCTTTGAGCACTGCCTAGGTATGTTGTCTGCTCTGATCGTCTGTAGTTGAGAAGGATGTATACCCTAGAGCGTACCGCGACGTGTTTTTGCTCCACAATGCATGCAATGGAGTGTGTGTTAGCCCTATGTTCCTCCCTCTAGGGTCCGCCGTGTTGTTGGACGGGCGTGGCGTTGTACTCGCCGCCGTTGTCTTGAGCGGATGGTTAAGCTTAAGCTTGCACTGTCTTTAGGTGTCGCGTACTTGGCACAAACGTTGGCAATGCATCTCAGGAACTCACAGCCGTCGCTCGGCATCACCCAGCGAGATGTTCAGTGTGTCACTATCGCTGGTCTCTGCCATGATTTGGGACATGGGCCCTGGAGCCATGTTTGGGATAGCTTGTTCATTCCCACTATTCTGTGAGTTGAGTCGCGTCTGCTGCTTTCGTAACTCGTCTCTTACCCTGCCGTAGTCCGGAGAAGACTTGGTGTCACGAGGACGCGTCCCGCATGATGTTCGACGCGCTCTTGGAAGAGAATGGACTCGAACTTCACGAGGATGACGCCACCTTTGTGAAAGCTCTGATCATGGGTACTCCGAGTATGTGCAAGTAAGTGAGTGATTTCTGTGCGCCGCGGCCGGTCCGTTGAACCCCAGTGACTTGACAGGAAGAAGGAGAAGCCCTATCTCTTCCAGATCGTCGCAAACAAGACTAATGGCCTAGACGTGGACAAGTATGTTGCCTCTAGAGTTTGATGCACACATGCTATATCCTGACGCGTCGCAGGTTCGACTACATCGCGCGAGACTCGCATGCGATTGACCAGACGAGCAATTTGTCTTTGACCAGGCTCATTTACTCGTCGCGAGTCATCGATGACGATATTTGTTATGACATCAAGGATGCAAACCAGGTCTTCGAGCTCTGCCATACCCGGATGTCGCTCCATAAGCGTATCTATACACATAAAACCGGTGAGTTATGCTTCCAATTCGGAGGTTGTCGCCCAGTAGCTGACTTGGGCCATGTAGCGAAGGCGATCGAGTATATGATTGTTGATGCCTTGAAGCTTGCAGAGCCAGTCATGAACATCGCACGCCGTTTGGAGGACCCCAAGAAGTACCTCCACCTCACAGATCACATTCAGACCGAAATCGAGGCCTCCGAGGACCCGGTGAGTCTTGTAGAAGAAGCTGGCTCTGTTCCCTTATTGACTGATTGGGAATTCAGAGGCTCGAGGAAGCGCAGAAGATCCTGCACCGTATCAAGGTTCGAGACCTATATAAGACCGTCGACAACAAGGTCTTCCCGTGGGACCAAAAGGCAGACTTGAAGGCAATGTTTACGCCAGAGTCAGTCGTGAAAGCATTCAAGGAGCTCTACGCTGGCAACCCTACCTTGGACTCGTCGGAGCAGCTGGATGGCCTTGACAATGACCCCGAGAAGGTGAAGGTCCTCGCGGAGGAACTGAGCCCCGAGCACGTCATCATCGACCTCACAGAGCGCCATCACGGCATGAAGGATGAGAACCCCCTCCATTTTATGAAGTTCTACTCGAAACACCATCCTGACAGTACGTATGTTCCTCTACAAGTGGCGTGTGTGGAGAACTGATGCCTCCATCTGGCTCCGCAGAGGGCATCTATGCCAACGAGGACAATATCTCCGTCACACTCCCCCGAGCTTTCGGCGAGCTTCTGCTCAGAGTGTATACTCGTGAGTCACGGTGAGTTCGCGTCGACTGTCGTCTTCTGTGATCGCGCTCGCGCTGAACTGATGCGCCCCAGATTCTTCGGAGTGGTCCAACGGGGCTACCGCAAAGTCCTCAAGGCGTTCAGTGAGATGCAAGAACGCAAAGCGGCCAGCAGCGGCCTCTTCTTGGACGACTCCAGCAATCCGCTCGATGCGGATGTGGATCTGGCTGATCCACCCGTTCACCCAGTCACGCCCCCAGCTGAGGCTCCGACTACCCCGAAGTTGAAGCCGCAACAGCCGCGCACGATGTCCCGCGTCCCGACGCGCACCCTTTCCCGTCATCCTAGCGGTGTGGTAGACGGTGGAGTGGCGATGACGCCGATCCAAGACAACCCTTTCACTGGCGTCGGGGCGACTTACAATCCCAAGGACAGCCCGGCCAAAAAGGGGAAAAAGCGTCAGCGAGAGACAGAGGCGGGTAAGGAGAAGGACGCGATCAAGGAGAAGCAGAAGGTGGACAAGGCAGACGAAAGGTTGGATCTTGCGCTGGAGTTCGATCCGGAACTGAGTGCTCCCGGCGGGAGTGCGAAGAAAGGAGGCGGATCGCCGCCGAGGAAGAAGAGCAAGCCGTGAAGCCCGCTGCGTAGGTCTCAAAATGCGAAGTGTATCTGACATCCCCTGCCTCTGAACTGTACTCAGTGCTGTGTTCGTTCTCTTTTACTTCTACCGTCTTGCATGCATGCACTCGTAATCTCTCCGTTCGTGTTGTGATATATGCTCACTTCATAGACTTTCACCAGATACCGCATCTCTCATGTACTATACCACAGCGCGCGATGTCCAGAAACCCAAAGTTTCAAAACCACCTCTGTAAACCGTATCCGACCATTTGCCTTTGTGATGCACGTATAGGACGGCGATCGCACATGCCTTTCCTGTGTTCGCGAATACCTGCTACTATGTGCAGCATTGTCGGACTGGCGTCGTCAACGAAGAGCATACACTATCGAACACGAGAGTGCGCTCTGTATCTTGTGAGCTGCCTCTCTTTGAGTTGGATCGTAACGTGTTCTGACTGCTCTTGGCAGTGGTCCACCAGGGGAAAGAGAAGGACGGTTGTCGTCTTGGTCGGAGACACCCTTAGGGCGAACGCTACCACCGGGGTCCACTTCACTCGCCTTCTGACTTTTGTCGCCCGCTGAGCGTCGATGTCGTCCAGAGAATGAAAGGGTTCAGCGATACTACTCGGAACCTGTCAATGTCAGCCTTCGGCGATAAGGTGGATGATTTGTTTGAGCTTCGATGTCTATCGGTACCCACAAAAATGCAGGGGCGGGCATCGGGCGCTTTGTTGGTCGATGTGGTCAAACGGATTCGAGGCCCATGCAAACCGCTCTCGCCGTCAATCAATAGTTTCAATTCAGACAGAAAATCCAGGCCGAGCTGTCTAAGGCTCCGCGTGACGACAGATGCATATGAGGCAGTTGGCTTCACCACGACACGAGAACAGTGGATTGGGACAGACAACTTGAAGTGGAATGGACCTCCCATACCCTCTCCAATAGTAGTGAGCGCGTTATCTCGCGGAGGACACTGTTTTCGGTCATGACAACTTACTTTGCCCGACAGATGGTATGCCATACTTACCATCTGTCGGAATCTCCGGCGAGGCGGGAAGTTGAGCTCTGATTGTACTTCCGGGACGCTTTCAATTCCTGTAAGCGGATCGAGGCTGCCGACATCTGGGAGAGGTTCTTGCACCATCTCGAGAAAGCTCAGTTGGAAGAGACCGTGTTTCGCACCAGTCCTCGAGTTGCCGCGCGAGTTCTGGGGTATGCTCTTATTCACGCCCCCAGCGACGTCGGTCGAGACTGCGTCGCCCGCGAAGTCCATGACTGTCATAATGACCCGGAAGTTCTCGCCGGCCCAAGTTGCACATTTCTACATCTATGGCAGGTGAGCGTTCTCTTTCTTTGATTTTCCGATATCCACCCGCGGGCAGTCACAAACCCAAAGGGCCCTACGCCACTCAGTTCCTCCGACCTGAGTCCTCGACCATCGTTCGAGGTGACCGTGGAGGGCCATGACCGGACTTTGTTAGAACCAGGTAGAACCCCGCAAGATTTGAAGGATGTTGTGAGTAGGTTACCCCTTCCGTCCCGCATTCCTTCGGGTGGGCGCGCGACGAATTGTGCGACCAACAAGGATTTCACACATACCGCGCAGCCGATGCTGACTACGAGTACAGCTGATGGCTCGGGATAAATACCGCTGTGTGTTCACACATAAGCCCGACGGGGACTCCGTGCTGGGTGGTGTCGTGTCCGTTGACCTTCAGACACTACGTGCGTCAGGGGGTGCAGTTGATCTGCAAGTGGCCCATATCATCAGCCAATCGCTCACAGCAGATGTTGGAGGTTGACTCGGAGTGCGCGAGGCAAGGTCCGTTTCTATGCGATTGCGTTGTCCATATTCTGACAGACCGACAAGGGGTGCTCAATTCTTGTCGGTCGCTCGGTTGCTCGCGCGCCTATCGGGCGCCTGCCTCCCTGAATTCAATGTCAGCTCAAGCCTTTGCAGCACAGCGAGCAGAGGTGGGCCGGCAGCGGGTGCAGAGATCTCGACGGGATTGTCCCATACTATATTTGTTAGGCCCGGGAAACCAGTCCAGCAAGTGAATGGTGACGTCGGGAGAGCTTATAAATTCGTTGACCTGGACTTATTGTACACAATGCGCCCAAATCAGAAACAGATTCAGCACGACATATGTACATACGGCTCAGCTGGGGGTGCCGCTCTGACTCCTCGATGGCAACTGGACTCAATCCTTGTGGGACGACTCCGCATATCGAGTCAAGGAACTCTCCAGCTTCGTTAGATTTTCGCGTCGCTCTCTAGTTCCAGCTCGGGGACATCATGCGGTCGTGTTGCACCCGCTGCCTGTC